AAATCTCAAACCAGTATTCTATCTATGTCACTAACCAGTTTCATCTTAGGCAAATGACTTCCTTCTAATTCTATATTTATCTAGGAAACAAGTTTTATTATGTGTGCTCTTCCTTTCTTGGTGCTATATTATTAGGATGGTCTGGATGAGCAGGGCTGCAACTTCCTTCCTGCTTATACCTGGCTTCTGTGTCATCAGAGTCCTTTCCCCAGTGCCCCATATTTTAAACTTCCAGATTGGGTTCTCTATGATTCATGCACACAACTCTAGCTTTACCTCAAAGCCCACAAGAGTTGCACTGTCAGTAAAGGAAGAATCTAGTTATACCATGAAAGAAAAATGCAATTACTAGGCATGACATCAAAGTTGCACTTTTCAAATCTTAAGATCACTTGTTTTATTTGAAGACACGCTACACTTGCACGGATTAGTTACCAAGGGATGAAGCTCGGAATCCATTGAAGCTGCTGCTGTTTCAAAAACTTGCAGAGAATTCACCAATTCTTGAGCAGGGCCATCTCCCTTTTCCAGGAGGGACTTTCCATCTATTAAAATATATTGTTTTAAGTCTGTATCATCTTGCAAATAATTTTTCAAACTACAGAGCCACAAAAATTTGTAGTGCCTCCCCAGCTAGCACAGGAGAGTCAATTTTACCTCTTTTTTGTTGGACAGAGTCTTGCTCTGTCACCCTGGGTAGAGTGCAGTGGCTTCATTCGTAGCTCACTACAACCTCAAACTCCTGGGCTTAAGCGATCCTCTTGCCTCAGCCTCCTGAGTAGCTGGGACTACAGGCATACACCACCACGCCTGGCTAATTTTATCTATTTTTATTAGAGATGGGGTCTCACACATGGCTAAGGTTGGCCTCAAGCAATCATCCCTTCTCAGCCTCCCAAAGTACTAGGATTACAGGCATGAGCCACTATGTCCTTATAATTTTTATTCATTGGATTGAGTGTTCCTCATTATTTCCTAAGTATCCTATTTTGGCAGGTATTTTCCACTTTAACTTCATGGCTTACCACAGGTGTTATGATCACGAAACCATTACAATAACACCTCATTATTAAATGCTGCATGGAATGCTAGGATTAATGTTGCTAAGAGCCAAGTAGCTGTTCTACAGACAAGTCTTACAATTCAGCTGAAGCCATGTTGTTGATCATGGAGGATAACAGCATACAGATGGACTCTATCTCTCTCTATTAATAGTAAATCAATAGAATTTTAAACCAGAAAAAGGACACACTTTACACATAGAAAAACTACATTCTCCTCTACTCCCTCCTAGATTCTGCCTTTTAGATTAAGTAACAGTAGAGAATTGGAGCTAGTACCCTTTATCACACCGTAAATTGCAGAGCGCTTCCTTATATAGATATATGGAAAGAAAGAATAATACTCTCTTCTATGGAAAAACCAGATAATTAATTCTCTAGTTTATTTTCCTCCTACCTTTGTCCCAATTCTTTTTTAAGAATTTTTTTTTTTTTTTTTTTTT